TCCATCTCCTACCGACCAACCTCATCCCGCCCCCTTGACCTGTCCGTCCTCCCTGGACTGACCTATCCCCTTCCTAACTCCCTACCTACACTCACCTTTCCTGGCCCCATCCCCGCCTCTTCGACCTGTTTGTTTCTTCTCCACCTATCCTCTCCTCCATCCCTCTTCTATCCGCCTCCCACTCTCTCCCTATTTATTTCAAAACCCCCTTCCCCTCCCCCTTTTCTGATGAAGGGTCTAGGCCCGAAACGTCAGCCTGTCTGCTCCTATGATGCTGCTTGGCCTGCTGTGTTCATCCAGCCTTGCACCTTGTTGTCTCGGATTCTCCAGCATCTGCAGTTCCTACTATCTCTCTTGAATGCCTTGATTGAAACTGCCTCCATGCATTCTCAGGCAGCACATTCATGTGACCTACACCACTTCTGAATGAAAATGTGTCTCTGTTGTTTATTTTTTTCAATTTCTTTAACTCTGGACCTTCATGTTCTCAATCAGCAATGGGAATACTCTTTTTTCTATATTGTCCAAATTTCTCAAGATTTGAATACTGCTATCGAATCTCCTCTCTCTTCTGCAAGAAAAGCAGTTGCAACTTCTCCAATCGATCTACATAACTGAGGTTCCTCATACTTGGACCCATTCTTGAGAATCTTTTCTGCACTTCAATGTCTTCTTGTATTTCCAAGAGCTAGACTCAGTATTCTAGTAGCAGCTGAAACACTATCTTTTTCAAGTTTAACACAACCCACTCTTATGCTCCATTTTCCAATTAATAAGGCCTAGGATACTGTATGCTTTCTCACCTGCGCTCTTGCCACCTCCAATGTCTTATTCACATATACACCAAATTTCCTCTGCTCCCAAATGCTCTTTATTTTATACTGTCTATCTGTGTGCTTCCTACCAAACTCAATTACCTCAGGGATATCTGCACTGAAATTAATCTGCCACTTGTCTGTCCATACCACCAACTTGTTTGCGTTCTTTTAAATTTCTACAGTATCCTCCTCACAGTTCAAAATGTTTCCAAGTTTTGTGTGATGTGCAAATTTTGTTATTGTGCCCTGTGCATCAAAGTCTAGATTATTAATATATGTCTTCAAGAGCAAGGCTACCAGCACTGAACCCGGGCAGCTCCACTTCTTCTTCCAACCCAAAAGCATTCATTAACCAGTACTTTTTGTAACCTGTCACTCAGACAATTTGAAATCCATGTTAACACCATCTTTTTTTATTCCATCAACCATGACTTTGCTCACAAGCCTGTTGTGTGGCACTGTGCCAAACTATTGTATGTCCATGTACACCATATTTATAGCATTACCTTCATCAATCCTTGCTGCTATCTCATCAAACAACTCCAGGAAGTTAGTAAAACAGCATATTCCCTTAACAAATCTGTGTTGGCATTCCTTAATTATAGCTGCATTTGCCCAAGTGGCTATTAATGTTGTCCTGAGTTCTTTTTTCCCCAGAAGCTTCCTCACCACCAAAGTTACACTGGCTGGCCTAATCTTCACACTCTTGTTTTGAACAAGAATCTAACATTTGCAGTTCTGCAGTCCTCTGGCACCACCTTGAGGTGAAGTCCTTTATACTTTCTAAAAACACTTGCCCTGTTCTGCCCTTTACACAGCCATGTTCTATAGATCTGAAGTCCCCCCATTGTGACAACTCTATGATTCTTGCTTAGCTTTGTAAATTCATCGCAAATTCCCTTTCCTTCTGCAGCCTACCCACTGGCTATTTGCCTATGGGCTACACTGAGCAGTGAAATTGCACCTTTTCTGTTCCTTAGCTGTAGCCAAATCAGTTGTCTTTGATTTCTCTGGGATACCCTTTTTCTCCAGATTTGCAATGCATTCCTCAATCAGTACCACCACCTCTACCCCTTTTCATCCTTCTCTTTCCTGAGCACCTTGTATCTTGGTATATTTAACTTATAGTCTTGCCCTTCTTTGAGACATGTGTAACAGCCACAACATTATATTTCCATATGACCATACTAAATTGGGAGGTGGTATAGTTTGGCTTTTATTGCAAGGGAATTGGGAATACAAGAACAAAGAAGTCTAACTGTAACTGTACAGAGCTTTCTTTGAACCACACCTTGAATGCTTTGTGCAATTTTGGTCTCCATTTTTAATGAGGGATAAACTTGAATTCAGTACAGCGAAGATTAATGAGATTGTTCCCTGGGATGTCAGGGTTGCCCTATGACACATGGCTGAATAAACTGGACCTAGATGACCTCAATCAAACATATAACATTCTAAAGTGGCCTTTACAGGGTTGATCCTCAAAGGTTGTTTGCCCCTGGATGGGGAATCTAGAACAAGGGGACACTGTCTCAGTAATTTAGGACCAAGATTAGGAGAAATTCACAAAGGGTTGTGAGACTTTTGTTTTTTTTCTACCCTGGATGAATCTGGATGCTCCATCCTTGAGTATATTTAAGGCTGGAATGGATAGCTAATTTGGTCACTCAGGAATCAAAGAGTTGTGAGGAGTTGCAAGAAAATGGATTTGAGGCCCAGGCCATCCATACTTGTACTGAATGGTGGAGTAGGTGCAGGGAACTACGTAGGTTCCTGCTTTTAGGACCTTTGTTCCACTGTGAAGGATAGCAACCAATTGTAGCAGGATGTTAGTAAATTTACAGAAGGGGCAAATTATTGACAGATGACGTTCAACATTAAATTTGAAATAGTACATTTTGGTAGAAGATTGGAATGGCTTAATTTGTGCAAATCCAGGTGGGTTAGAGGGACAAAGGAATCACGGAATACAAGTACATCAGTCATTACAAATTGAACCACTTTTTAGCAAAACCATTTTTTTTTAAAAAAAGCACACTGTACATTAGGCTTTGTATCTAGCTGGATAGGATTGCAAAGTAGAAAAGCTACGCAAACCCCACATCAAACCATGGTTAGACCACATTTAGAGGTTGACGTATTATAAATAGGATGTAAAGACACTGGAAAGGGTGCAGAGTAGATTCATAAGGATGATCAGAAATGTACAGGAAAGAATTGATAGGCAGGTACAGTCCTCTTTTTCTCCTGAAAAAGGCGGCAGAGAGTTGGCCTAATATCCATTTTTACAAGTAGGAAAGGTTTTGACAGAGTGGATACTGAGTGTTTAATCTTTTGGTGCAGACCATATGCTTTCAGCAAAGCCTTTGAAATGGTCCCACACGGGAAACTGAAAATGTTAAAAGCACATGGGATCCTGGGTAACTTGGCAAGCTGGATGCAAAATTGGCTCAGTGGTAGGAGTCAGAGAATGGTGGTATGACTCGAGGCTGGTATCCAGTGGCGTACTACAGGGAATACTGCTCGGTCCCTTATTGTTTGTTACATAATTTATATAGATGAGAACGTGGGGTGATGATAAATAAGTTTGCAGATGAAACAAAGATTGGCCAGGTGACTGACAGTGAGGAGGAATCTTAGGTTACAGGAGGCAATTGATGAGTTGGGCAGATTGATTTAAACCCTTAAAAATGTAAGGTAATGCAATCTAGAAGAAGTAACAACACAAGGGAGTACTCAATGAATAGAAGGACAAGAAGATGCTCAAAGGAACACAGAAATTTTGAGGTGCTGGTCCACAGATCCCAGAAAGTTGTACAGCAGGTTAACAGGATAGTTATGAAGGCATACAGGACACTTGTCTTTAACAGCTTCAACACAGATTACAAGAGCAGGGAGGTTATGTTGGAGATGCACAGGACTTCGGTTAGGACACACCTAGACTACTGTGTGCAGTTCTGGTCACCACACTAGAGGGGTTGCAGAGGAGATTCACCAGGATATTGCCTGGGATGGAGCATTTCATAGAAAAGCTGGATAAGCTGAAGTTGTTTACTTTAGAGCAGAAAAGACTGAAAGGGAACCTTATTGAGGTATATCAGATTGTGAGGGCATGGACAGGTTGGATAGAAAGCAGCTGTTCCCCGTGGTTGAAGGGTCAACAACAAGGGGGCAGCATTCTAATATGAAAGGCAGGAGGATTAAAGGGATTTGAGGAAAATGTTTTTCACCCAGGGAGTGGTGGAAATCTGAAGTTGAGGCAGGAAATCTCACAACGGGAAATCTCTTTAAATAATATACTTGGATGAGCACATAAAATAGTACAACATTCAAGGCTATGAGCCAAGTGCTGGAAAGTGGGACTAGTATAGGTTTATAGTTTTGTTGGTGTAAACTTGATGGGCTGATGGGCCTATTCTGTCCTACATACTTGTTTCTATAACTACAGACCACCAACATGACAGTCGCTGAGAAATCCAACAGGGAATTCAGGAAAAATGTCTTTTTCCTGAAAGATGTGAAACTCACCCCACAGAGACAGGTTGAAATGCATGGTGCACATCACATGGAAGAGGATGTTAGTGAGCACAGGAGGAAGAAGGGATTAATGAGTAACAATGGTACGTTTATCATATAATTCCCTACAGTGCGGAAGCAGGCCAATTGGTCCTTCGAGTCCACACCCCTCTGAACAGGGTCCCCACAATTTCGCATTTTACCATGGCTAATTCACTTAGCCTGCACATAGCTGGACACTGTTGGCAATTTAGCATGGCCAATCCAGCTAACCTACATATCTTTGGATAGTGGGAGGAAACCAGGACACATGCAGGATTGGGAAGAATGTGCAAACTCCACAGAGTTTGTCACCCAAGTTTGGAGGTTTAGATTGTTTTATTTATTATTGTCACATGTACCTGAGTACAGTGAAAAGTCAGATCAAAACATACAAAGATGCAAAGCTCACAGGGTGATTGAACAGAGAGAGAGGTGTGCAAAAAGCAAGATCAACAGCAGATTTGAAATTTGAGAGGTCCATTCATAAATCTAATAACAGTCAGAAGATGTGGGGAGACTCAACTGGTGCACTACACCTGGCACCGACTGGTTGGGTGGAACGGTCTTGTTTCTGTGTCGGACATCGTGGTCATTTATCAGCCGCAGTTTCACAGGGAACCTTACTCTTTGTGTGTGTCTCTTCATTTCGAACAGTTCGAGAGGCCATGGCGCCGGGAGGGGTTCTTCACTTCCAGTTCCTCCACCACGAGTCGGCGACCCTGAGGAAGATGAACCAGCTCCGCGTGGAGAAACGTTTCTGCGACGTGACCGTGGTGACGGGGCGGCTGCGGTTCGCGGGCCACCGCGTGGTGCTGGCCGCGTGCTCGCCGTTCCTGCGCGACCAGTTCCTGCTGCAGCCGTCGCGGGAGGTGCGGGTGGCGCTGAGCGACGGCGCCGAAATGCTCTCGCGCCTGCTGCTCTCGTGCTACACGGGCTCGCTGGACGTGCCCTGCAGGGAGGTGCTCAGCTACCTGACGACCGCCAGCTACCTGCAGATGGACCACGTGGTGGAGGAGTGCAAGCGCGCGCTCTCCACGCGCATCGACCCCTGCATCAAGCTCGAGGACGACGAGGTGACCTTTGGGCCGGAGGCACAGTGTCGCGCTCGAGCTGAGGCACGGGCCCGGCAGTTGGCCGGGTTCAGGTCGGAGTCCGAAAAAACCGACGCCGACGACGTTTACGTGATCGTCGAGACGGACGGCCTGGTGGCGGAACCTTCCGGAAGCCAGCCCAGCGACCCCCGTCAGGAGGCCCACCCCGACCTCTCCAAGGCGGCCGAGGATGACGCTGTGCTGATCAGCGGCGGCTCCTCCAGCGACGAGGACAGCAACTGGCCGGGCGAGAAGAGCGCAGCCCCCGTTCCCGTCAGGCGGTGGGCAGCCCTCCACGGCCGCCTCCTCCGACCCCGCCCCGCCTGCCCCCAGCCCATTCACTGCAGCGAGTGCGCGCAGGCCTTCCAGCATCCGGAGCATCTGGTGGCCCACATGAAGGCCCACAAGCTCTTCATGTGCCCCAGGTGCGGCAAGGTGTTCAACCAGCGGGTCAACCTGGCTCGCCACGTCCATGTGCACACGGGCGTCAAGCCCTACCTCTGCACCGTCTGCGGCAAAACCTTCACCCAGAACCGCTCGCTCAAGGACCACATGAACCTGCACAGCGGCGCCAGGCCTCACTGCTGCCACTACTGCCACATGAGCTTCGCCCACAAGCCCGCCCTCCGCCGCCACCTCAAAGAGCAACACAGCAAAACCACCGCTGACAACTGCAAGTTGGCCCTACTCAGCATGGCTGGCACTGACGCCGAGCCACTGTAAAGGGACCCTTAACTCTGTACACACCTGTGAAGTTTTTCTCACTCCGAACTACCTTTGGGGTCTCCCTCGCTCTGCACGGTGCCATCAAAGTCTCCTTCTCAACTGTTGCCAGCGTTTCTCTCACTCTGGTTTACATTTGGGATCACCCTCCCTCTGCACAGTCCCAACGATGTCTCTCTCACTCTTCACTGCCTTTGGGGTCTCCTTTGCTCTTCAGAGTCCTGTTCGGTTCTCCCTCACTGGTTCTGGTGTCAGGGTCTACCTCACTCTATGGTCCCCTATTGGCTTCTCCCTCACTCTGACTTGTGTCACATTATTGTGCAGGCTCCCTCAATCTGTGGTCTTCCACTGGGGCCTTCCTCACTCAGTGGTCTCCAACTGGGGCTTTCCTCACTCTGTAGTCTCCCATTGGGGCTCTCCCTCACTCTGGAACTGGTGTCAGGCTCTCTGTCACTTTGCCAATTGCTACCATGGCCTCCAACGCTCTGACAGCTCCTCTCAAGTTGTTTTTAAGTGTAGAGAGCAGAAGAACGGAGAAAGGCTTTTCTTTCCACCTCTCCTTCCACAATCTCAGAATATGCCAAAGAGCTTTACAGCCAATGAAATACTTTTTTCAAAAAAAAGTAACCCTCGAAGTGTGGAAAAGCAGCAGACATTCTGTGCATTGACGTGAGAATGGATGGACCATCTGTGTCTCATATATGATGTTCACTGATGTTTTATATATTTTTGTCCAGAACACTGGGGATAGATTCCTGCTCTTTTTCCGAACAGTGCAACAGAGCAGGCTGATGCAGTTATGGTTTAACATCTCGTGAAAATTTTCACCCCTGACAGTGCAGCACTCCATAAATGCTTATAATGAGAGCACCAGCTGAGATTTTGAGGGTCAAGCGTTAGAGTGGCATTTGACCTCATAGCCAATAGTGCTACCTACAGTGGCACAAATGGCATCAGCTCCTAAAAGTATTGTCCTTAGATGTAGAATAGAACATTTCAAAGTTTAGAAGTTCTCCTGAAGGTGCCCGTTACAGTGGGAGCTATTTATGGATGTGAATTTAATCTATGTGTCTGTATATTAATTGACAATTGATTGTTGAATTGGTACTTTTGTTAAATTACACTCATCCAGGATTACAATACTTAATGAAATATTTGCATCTTTCAAATTTGGGCTGTTTCTTTTTAGCACTGTTCAATACTTTTAACACAGATTACCTCCATTTCCCAATGTCCACAGGTTTTTCAGGTTTTGCTCTTGGCTATTAATCCAGAGAGCATAATATTTTCAGAATTTGTCTTAAATTTAACCTCCTGGCATTTTAATTGTTTTATTATTAAAATTGGATGAGGATCTGCTGTGTGAAACCCAACCAGCTTGCTTCTGTCTCCTGAGGGAAGAATATCATAGAATCCTGGGATGTTTATAGCATAAGAGGCCATCTGGCCTGTCGTGTTTGCACCAGCTCTCTGAAGGAGAAATTCACCTACTACCACTGTACCTGCAGCCCTGTACATTTTATTTCCTTTTTCAAATCAAATTGCCCTTTGAAAGGCACAATGCACCTTCTGTCTAACACTCTCATGGGCATTCCTAATCCAAAACCTTTACTTTATTATAAAGTCTTTTTCTCATGTTTCCATAGTTTCTTTTGTCAATTCCCTTAAATCTGTGTCCTCTGTCTGTTTTGTGATCCTTTCAAAAGTGGAAACAGTTTTTTCCCCCCATCTGCTCTGTCCAGACATCTCATGATTCTGAATTTCTCTATGGAATCTCCTCTCAACCTTCTCTTCATCATAGAAATCTGTCTCAATTTTCTAATCTATCTAGCTGAAGTTCCGTTTCCCAGGAACCATTCTGCGAATCTTATCTGCACCTTTTGCAATGCCTTCATATCTTTCTAAATGTGTGGTCCTCAGAATTGGATGCAGTACTCAGTTGAGGCCAAATAAGGGCTTTGTAAAGATTCATCAATGCCCCTATTATGACGTCCATGATATTGTATGCATTATCAACCATGCTTGACTTGTCTGCCATGTTAATTACTTATGTACAAATATACCTAGGTCCTCATGCTACAGCAGCCACTTCTAATTTAATACAGTATCTCTACTTAGCAAAATGGATCACTTCACAATTCTCTGCATAAATCTGCAACTGCCCCATCTGCCTATTTCACCAATTTGCCTCTGGATTTTCACTAGGCTCATAATCGAAAGGTCCAGACTCTGGAGTCACTCACAGGTTCAAATGCACACACACATGCATCCTCTCCCAGCATCTGGTGGAATTTAAATTTAGTCAATAATTCTTAAAAATAAAGCTAATCTCAGTAATAGTGTCTCAAAACAACCATCAATTGTTCGCTGATGCCCTATACAGAAGGAAATGTACTATCCTGATCTTGACTGGCATATGTATACAATATGGATCACTCATAAAAGCTGTCTGAAATGGCCCAACCTGCTACTCAATTTCAAAGGAGGGTAGGATGGAGAACAAAAGCTGGCTATGCCACTGATTCCCATAAAAAGAATAAAGTATATAACCGTCTACGAGGGTTTTTGTGGCTCTGGTAGTGTCCTTAGTTCTGAGACAGAAGGACTAGGTTCAAGTCCTGCCTGATCCAGAGGTGCATAATAACATCTCTGAACATGTTGATTAGGAAATATCTATAATCATCCATGTTCTTTTGAAATTCTACACTGTCTTCACTGTGTGCTATATTTCTAAATTTCACACAATCCAAAAATTTTGAAGCTTGCTGTCCTTGCCCAATTTGGGTCTATATTCGACTTCAGGCTCACGATGAGGTGACTTGCCCTTTCACTGACTTCTCTATTATTTTACTCACCAAAAAGGCAGCCCACCATCAGTTCTCTCTAGGCAGGTAAGTGGGGTTGAGCTCTAAACATTGCCCTTGTAGGTCGCACCTACATACCAGGAACGAATTATTCTTCAAAATGTAAAGAGTAGGCACAGCTTACTCAGCATATCATCATAGAATGAGCCTCTCAACCCAAGAATCAATTTAGTGAATCTTCACTGTACTGCCACCAATGTAAATATATCCCTCCTTAAATAGAGAGACAAAACATAGAAAAGAGATGCAGGGCTAGGCCATTTGGTTCATCAAGCCTGGATTGCAGTTCAATATCACCATGGCTGTTACTGCATCTCAATGCCGTATTCCCCGTTTCTCCAAATATCTTTGATGCCTTTAAAATCTAGAAATTTATTTTTCTTGAATGTATTCAGTGACTTTGTGTCCACGGTCTTCTATGGTAGATAATTCCACAAGTTCACTACCCCTGCAGTGAAGAAATATTTTCTGATCTCAGTCCTAAATGACATATCCTGTATCTTGAGGCTGATAGAATAGTCAGCCTGCAAATCCCTCCAGTTCTTGTATGACTGGTGGTAACAGTTGGAGGGTCTTTTGGTCAGCTTGATACATTTTGCTCATACTTGAGGCATCCTGTGAGCTATAGTCTCCTATGCCAGGCTATGGAAACAGACATAATTACAAAGAGATAACTCCGATTTCTCTCCACAGATGCTGCCACACCTGCTGAGTTTATCTAGCAATTTCTGTTTTAATCACAAAGAGTAATAGCTTTTCATAACAGGGAACAAGGCCCTTCAGCCCATTGTATCTGGACCAGTCATCAAACATCCATTGATTCTAACCCCATTGTCCAATACACAACCTGTAGCCTTTTATGTTATAATATTTCAAGTGCTCATTTAATAGTTCTTAAATACCTTGAGGGTTCCCACCTTCCTCATCCTGACAGGCACTAAGTTCTGGATACCCATAACCCCCTGAGGTGAAAGGATTTCCTTTACAAATACCTTCTAAACCTCCTGCTCTTCACCTTAAAAGTGCGCCCCGTTTGTTAGTGACCCCACTAGTCGGGAAAGGTTTCTCCCTATCTACGCCCCCCAGAACTTCGTACACCTCAATGAGATACTCACTCAGACTTCTCTGCCCTAAGGAAAACAACTCCACCCTATCACATCTCTCATTGCAGATCATGGGAGTGGAAGAGCATGAAGCGAGAGTTGGGATGCAGGGGGCAGAGAGGAGACGGCTGGGAATGGGAACATAGAGTAGGGAGGGTAGGCACAGAAAGTACGAAAGATGGGAACCCAGAACAGGGGAGGGAGGTTTGTCTTCGAAAGATGCACCAGCTGTTCAGCTGCGGGAGGCGGCGCGGCTGCAAGTCCCTGATCGCTGGCGGCGGAACCAGGCTACACAGAGCCCTCCCTCTCCTGTGTGTGTAGTGGGAGGAGGGAGAGTACGCTCTAGATCGTCGGACAACCGTGTCCACACGTTTGCCCCCCTCCCCATCAGGCCGTTACTAAACCGGGCTCTTAGTGTCGTTGCTGCAGCTGCTGCTGAAGGCGATGGCGAGCGGCGGGGGGAGGATGCTGCGCTTCAGGTTCCCGGAGCACGACTCGGCGGCGCTGCGGAAGATGGACGAGCTGCGGCGGGGCGAGTGGTTCTGCGACGTGACGGTGCTGGTGGGCGGCCTGCGGTTCCCAGGCCACCGGGTGGTGCTGGCCGCCTGCTCGCCGTTCCTGCGCGACCGCTTTCGCATGGAGCCGGCCCGCGAGGTGACCGTGCTGCCCGCCACCGCCGCCTCGCAGGCCGTGCTGCGCCTGCTGCTCGCCTGCTACACCGGCCGCCTCGAGTTCCCCTTCGCCGACATCCTCGACTACCTGACCGCCGCCAGCTGCCTGCAGATGGAGGACGTGGTCGAGCAGTGCCGCCGCTCCCTTTCGCCCTGCGTCGTGGCCGCCTCGCTGCTGCGGCTGGCCCAGGACGGCGAGGCCGAGGACGGAACAGGGCCTGCAGCCGGAGCCGCCGGAGGAGGAGGAGGAGGAGGACTCCGCCCAGGCCGCTCCGGGACCCCGCACGCCGGTGCCGCTGCCAACCGGGCAGCGGAGAGACTTGAGGCCGAGGCCTCCCCCCTGTCTCCTTCCTCGACACCTACGACGGCGAGTGCACCTGGGGCAGGCCGAGGCGTCGAACCGGTCAAACTCGAGGCCCAGGCTTCTCCTCCTCCTCTCCTAGGCCCTGGTGACCGGGAAGCCCACGCCGCCCCTCACCCTCCTCCTCCAGCCGTCGCCGATTACCTAGAGACCGAAGGCCGCATACACCCGGGGCCAGGGCTGAAGGTGGGCGAGGACGAGGAAGAGGAACGGGCCAAGGCCGAAGGGATGGAGGCCGAGGTGGCCGAGGCCTACCCCCCGGGCACCGGGGTGGAGGAGGGAGGAGAGGAAGAGCCCGAGGAGGACTACGAGAGTTCGGCCAGCGAGGAGTGCCGAGCCTCGGCGGGTTTCTACGGCGGAGGGGGTTTCTACCAGAGGCCCGGGGTGGGAGAGGAACCGCAGGTCTCGGGCCTGGAGGAAGGCCCCGGGCCTGGGGCTGGGCCTAGCCCCGCTCCCGGAGCCGGGGGCCTGGCTGAGCCGCCCCTCCTGTGCTCGGAGTGCGGGGCCCCGTTCGAGCAGCGCAGCGGCCTGGCCACACACCTGCTGCTCCACAAGCTCTACATGTGCCCGCTCTGCGGCAAGCTCTTCAAGAAGAACGCGCGGCTGGCCCAGCACCTCAACGTGCACACTGGCTTCAAGCCGTACGGCTGCGCCATCTGCGGCCGGGCCTTCACCCAGAACCGGTCCCTTAAGGACCACATGAACGTCCACAGCGGAGACTCGCCGCACGGCTGCGGTTACTGCGACATGCGCTTCACCCACTACAACACCCTGCGGGTCCACCTCCGGGACCAGCACGGCAAGACCACCAGCGGCAAGAACTCAGGGGAGCCCAGGCTGGCAGAGATCAACGTGGTGGTGCCCTAGGTGTAGGGGGCTTGGGGTGCGGGTGCCCTGTAATAAGTGAGTGAGGGATGGTGATGGTGGGATGGGGCTGAAGGGCCTCTCTACCATGTAAGGGGGGTGCGGCACCAATGGTGGGGTGTTATAGTGGAAAGAGGGATGTGGAGGCATCCCTGGAGTTAGAGTGGAGCACACGAGGATCCCAAAGCTGGGGTGAGGTGTCTGAGAGGGAATCCTGTGGATAGGGTGGCATGTGTGGCATCATCCCTAGGGGTGGGGGTAATATTGTGCATGGGAGGGTGGCATGTGTGGCGGGGGGGGCCTGGGCTTGAGGGGAGGTGTGTGCAATTTGATCCCTAGAGGCATGTGATGGACTGAGGGGATGCAACCTTAGGGTAGAGTTGGGAGTGTTTGAGATCTGTAGTATTTCGTTGGGGGAATGGAATTGCAGGAGAACAATTTGTGTGATAGGGGTAAGGTGATAGGCAGTCCTCTGCTTGCTAATGATGGGCTCACTCCCATCCACTCTGCAGCAATTGAAAGTTCTCCTTTTGCCATGACACATGAACCTTAAAACCTTAGCTCTGCACACAAGTATAAATTCTTCTCTAGACCCCGATGTACGGTTCCTCCCTCTTCCCACATCAGTCAGCAGTGCCTCTATTGCCCACTCCCCTACATGCACCTGTCTCCTCTCTCCATCTCCCTAACTGGCTGCTCTTCTCTTGCCTCTCCCAACATATAATGCACTCCACCTACAGTCTCTATCATGTTCTCTGACCCCTATTCAATAAGATGTGGGAACAAAGTAGGCCAATAGACCACTTGGATCCACTCTACCATTCAACAAGACCATGGCTGATCTGATCATTCTTCACTTTCTTCCCTTTCTGCCTATGGGTCAAGTTCTCAATTCAGTCAAAATTGGAGGGGCGAGGTCACCAGCAAATATGCCATTGCAATCGGCACTCTGAGGATGGGAACCTCCATTTTACTCACTGTCCTTGAGGTCTTTGCCCTGGTCACTGAGGCTTTGCAACAAGTTGATCAGTTTAATTCCAAGCCACAGTACAGCCTGAGGCATCAGACAGCAGAGGAGGTGCCCATTCATCCTTTCATGGCTGGTTCCTCAGTAATGTGATCCAATTAATCAAACTTCCTGGTTCTTTTCCCCATCACTTTGTAAATATCAGTTTCTCCTTCTGCTATTTGTTCAATTCAAAGAGAGCATAGATCTCACATCATGGATGATGGTCCTTCAGCTGACTGTGTCATCTGCTGTCCATCTAACATAATTCCACTTTACAGCCTGGAGTCTGTAGCCCTGTAAGTTACAGCACTAAATGCAGATTGAAGCACTTGTTAAATTTGATAAAGTCAAGATCTCAATTGCTGAATCTCTTTCTGGGCAGTGTCTTGCAGATTGCTACTGCAGTAATATTTATCGTTGTCACGTCTGGTTCTATTGCCAATTAACTTAAGCCTGTGCCCTCTCGTTTCCAACTCTCGTAACCAGTAGAAATAATTTCTCTGCATTTGCTCTGACAAAACACATCTCTCAAATCTGCACCTACCCTTCCCCACACCAAGGAGAACAGTCCCAAGTACTCCATGTCCCTCATCCCTGAAACTGTTTTTGGAAGTCTCGTCAGCACCCTACCCCAGACCCTGACATCCTTGCTAAAGTGCCCCAAGGGTCCTGAACAAGACACAGTTTCCCAGGTGAGGTCTAGCCTGTGTTTTGTCCAGGTTTAGTTTAACCTCTCTGCTTTTGTATTCTGCCAGTATGTACAAAACTGCAGGTACCATGAGTATTTCTAACACCTGTCACAGCTAGTCTTATCTGCTACTAAATCAGTTTGCAATGGGAGCATAGTGATGAAAGGATCAATATAACTTTCAAACCTGGTCTGTGTTGCTCCCCCCCCACTGCTGAGAATGAGCTGTGACCTCCCACTAACCCTGCAAGTCCATTAGAGAGTTTGTCTTTTCCATCTCAGTAGTTTTATTACATCTAAAAGATTGAATGTGTAGTTTTTAGATGGTATTTGTGGTTCATTTCAACTCTAAGGATAATATTGGTGTTGATCTTCAGCTGCTTGACAAATAAATATAAATTTCATAAATCCTCTCATTGTCTGATAAATTTGACATCACATTTTTGCTAAACTCTGACATGGCATTGGGGATAATGTAGAAAAGTAAGGGAATAAAATTGTTGCTAATCTCATACACAATGGTAACGCAATTGTTACTAATCTCAAACATGGTAAGGGTATAAATATTATTAATTATGGACATGGTGGAAATAGGATTGTTACTAATCTTTGGCAGTGCACGCTTGTTATCACTAAGTTGGGAAGAACAGGATTATTACTAATCTTAGAAATGGGTAGAGCAGATTTGTTACAAATGTTGACTAACTTCAATCATGATGAAATCTGATGTTTTACATATCTGTAGACAATGGAGGCAAGATTGTTACTAATCTCAAAAATGGTGGGAATAAGATTGTGACTAATCTCAAACAGAGGAGGAGCAGAATTGCTATTCTTAAATAAATATTATTCAAACTGTATAGATATAAACTGAACTGTGGTTTGAAGCCATGAGTGGCAACTTTGAGTTAACACTAACAAACAAATGAGACAGCTATTACTCAGAGTCCTACCCCATCTTGCCATTTTAGCCCCTAAAGGAAGTTTATCATTTAAAAATTACTAAAATATAATTACCAATATAAAATGCAGCTGGTGGGTCTGTTAGCTAAGAGTTTGTGAATCTGTGTGATTCAGATGTTGTCAGTAGAAAACAGTTTCAAATGTGCCCACCTCTGGAGTGATCATGTAGGAAGTGCTGGAGCTATGCAATATAAAAACATTAGAAAGTGCCAGTACTGAATCTGATACCATTTGACTGTCAAAATGATTCAGAACCAGAGGAATTTTGTGCCAGAGCTACTGAATTACAATGACAAAAGCATCATATGATGGATATGCTGTGCCAGTGTGACAGAGGGATTGAGCGTGAAAAACATCCAGTTATAGATCCATCCAGTGCAAGAGTCCGGAGTCCAAAGTGTACGAGATCTAGTGCCAAACAGATTTGGTGTCATAGGATTCCAGTACCAGAGATCAAGTGGCAGAAACAGTGATAGATCTGTTGCTAGGGAAATCGAGAGACAGAGGTGCAGCACCATCAGAGATGTTGCTACAGGGTTCCATTGGCAGATATCAAATGGCAGTTCCAGTGCCATTATGATTAAGAAAAAGTGTTGTATCAGGAGTTTCCAGTGAAAGATAGATTGTGTTAGGAGATCCAGTTAGAGATTGAATGAAGATTGAATAATAGAGATAAACAATGATAATTAGACTGAGCAATAGTGATCTAGCATTGAGGGTATCTGGTACTAGAGGGTTCAATTGTGCTATTGAGATAAAGTGATAGATCTGAGGCAAAAGGATCAAGTTGCTGGGAAGATCCAGTGATGAATCGTACAACAGGATGTTCAGAAAATTCCAATGGAACAGAAATAAAGAAGATTCCTTGTTTATGGGCTGAGTGCCAGGTAGAAAGGGTAATGGAGAGATACAGTGACAGATGAAGTCATGATGAGGCCCTATAAGTAAATTGTACGCTGAGGAGATCCCATGCCAGTGAGATCAGGTACGAGAGGGTTCCAATGACCAATAAATTGAGTTCAAGGAAGATGGAGTGCCTGGGAGATCAAGTGAGAGATCTTATGACAGAGTTCCAATCACAGATCGAATGAATAAAGAGAGAGTTTGGAGAGATCTAGTGTGAGAGATTAAGTAATATAGAGATCCAATGACATTGCTTAGTGATCTAGTACAAGGAAGATTGAGATCTGGAATTAGTGATAGATTTTTGTTCCAGTGACTGAGCTATCAAGTGTGAGTGTGATCGAACGGTTGATCAGATCCAATGTCAGGGAGATAGCATTGTCACTGGATATTTTTATTGCTCTAACTAAGAGGTCGAGTGCTAGGGATTCAGTGACATGCACCAACAGTGCCAACGTTATTGGGTGCAAGAGGGTCTCAGTACCGCTACAATACCGAGGAAATCCATTTACAGAGAGATCGGATGACCGAGGAGGGGGTTCCAGTGTCTGAAAGATCAGGTGAGGGTCCCCCCGCAGTAGAAGGACTGAGTGCAACGGGGATCCAGTGACGGAGGTGGGGAGGAAGAGTGACAAAAAGATCGAATAATGGTGAGCTCCAATGACAGCGGGATCGAGTGATGGAGAGACCATGTGCCGAATAGGTTTCCAGTGGCAGACGTCGAGCGACAGCGACCCCAGGGGCCGGGGGATCCAGTGTGACACGGAGATTGCGCAACGGGGGGGATCTGGTGAGAGAGATCGAGCGACACGGGAAGCCGGCGACGGTACGTCCAGTCGCGGGGAGATCCAGTGATCAAGAAGAATCCCAGACGCTGGGAGATCGAGGGAAGGGAGATCCAGTGACAGAGTGCTCCGGGCAGGGGGTGGGAGCAATTCAGCGGCCAGAGATCGAGCGACATCCGGGCACGGGGGAGACCGAGCGGCGTGGCGATCCAGTGAGAGGGATCGAGTGACCGGGAGCTGTGGAAACTCCGCGGCTGCGGCTGGTCGGCCCTGCTCCTGCTCCGCTCCCGGCGCCGGGAGTTTTTGCGGGTCCGGGCCCGGGCCCGGGGATTCGGTCGGCCACCCGCCGGGGACTGCGGCAACTCGGAGCCAGGTGAGCCCGAGCAGGGCCTGGTGGGGAGAGAAAGGCTCGGGGGCTTAACCTCCCACTGTCACCCA